ATTTAGTAAATAAAATAATGAGTGAAAAATCGAGTGAATCAGATATAGAATTTGATAATACTCCACCTGAAATTACAAATTATGCAAATAATATAAGCGTGAACCTGCTGCCGCAAAAATCAAGACGTGAATATGGAAAGTATCATGCGCTGTTACGGGATTGGCAACACGAAAAGAAAACGGACACCTTTTCCAAAAATGTTTTCACTGAATTTTTTTTTGATTTATAAAAAATGGAAATTCTCGACTCTATGGGAAATATATTCAATCCTAAAAGCAACGATAAATATGAAACACGATATCGATATTTCAAGATACAAAAAATTCAAAACTTTGTTAAAATGCTCTTAAAAGCACGTAGCCAAGAAATCGAAGATTTTTACAGAAGAAAATTCTTAAAAAACACTCCGTTNTCTGTATTTTTGTATAAATGGATTGTTCCTTGAAATTCAGAAGTGCCAGGAAAACGCGTGACCTTGAAAATTTTAAAATTTTTCGCCTGCGGCGCCATTGAGACACTTCAGATCCCGAAATTCAATACAACAAATGTATAACAAACCTAAGCAGAACACATTCAATCAATGGTCAAACGCCGCCACTGCTCAACACTACTTTTTATAGTGAAACTCCATTCTGCCAGTATGTATTTAAAAATGAATCCCAAATGATTATTGGGACATTGGCGTAGAAGTTGAGGTAAAAAAATCCCATTTTACTACCCATTCCTACGCCACTGACCTACAAAAATTTGTAAATTTTACAGTAAATTATGCTTATGCGTAAACGTTAACACCACACCTTTGAGGAAAATTCAATAAAACGTAAAAATAAACCCAAATATCTTCGAAACCGCTACTACTATTAAAAAACACCATGAAACATTTTTTATTCATTGAACGCAACAGTCACAAGGTTAGTATTATATTCAATAAAAGGTCTAATTAAGTAATACGCTGTAGAAAATTTCATTCAATTCCGTCAGCGCATTATGAAGATATAGCAGAAAAAATATATTTTTTTTTTGTAAACTTTAACACCCTGTATCTCGAATACCGAGTCCCACAGGAAAAAGTTTATAGATCAAACTCTACTTATTTTTTGGTAATGAATCTAGTCCTACAGTTTCTGTATTTAAAGGGAAATCGCCCTGTATAAAATGTAGATAAAAAAACGGTACGGGAAAGTTACTTTTCTCCACGACCATGTAATAATTATGAATATTCCGTAACCGAATTAAACGATTTAGCGATTTAGTAAATAAAATAATGAGTGAAAAATCGAGTGAATCAGATATAGAATTTGATAATACTCCACCTGAAATTACAAATTATGCAAATAATATAAGCGTGAACCTGCTGCCGCAAAAATCAAGACGTGAATATGGAAAGTATCATGCGCTGTTACGGGATTGGCAACACGAAAAGAAAACGGACACCTTTTCCAAAAATGTTTTCACTGAATTTTTTTTTGATTTATAAAAAATGGAAATTCTCGACTCTATGGGAAATATATTCAATCCTAAAAGCAACGATAAATATGAAACACGATATCGATATTTCAAGATACAAAAAATTCAAAACTTTGTTAAAATGCTCTTAAAAAGCACGTAGCCAAGAAATCGAAGATTTTTACAGAAGAAAATTCTTAGAAAACGCTCCGGATGAGATATATCTAGCTAAAAAGTAATAAAAATCATAATTTAAATAGCAATTTTAATAAAATGTAGTTTTTATTGTTAGGTTGCCCTTGTCATTGGTGTTTTGGGGGCTTGTCACAAGCATGAGCTTCACAACATTTAAATTTCCGATATTAAAGATTTGGGATCCGCAATACTAATTGCAATTCGTTATACAAAAACTAAAAAACCAAGAGAGTTTACAATCACGGGAGATTTTTATAATATTATAAAAAAAATACTGGGCTTTGATACCTTATACTGTTCCTCGTGAAAATTTTTTAAATTTCCAAAAAAAATTAATGTACACGACATTGTTAAATAAACTGGGCAATACACCTAAACAAATTGCCACATTTCTGAATCTAGACAACCCTCAAGAGTATACTGGTCACTGCAACTACGCCGCATTGGTAAATGCAAGTGCGGATATTACAACATTAAAAAGGCATGGAGGTTGGAAGTCTTCTCAAGTAGCAGAAGCATACGTAGAAAATTCTCTGCAAAATCGAATAATTATAGCAAATCAATTAGTTTCTTCAATTACTGGGTCTAATTCGTTAGTAACCGTCCCCTCAATCTCGAATCATTTATGCTACACGACTGTTAAGTCTGCCTCTACGAATCAATCTGTTTTGAAAAATATTACAGAAAATATTTCCAATGCACCAGTTTTTAATTTCATTAATTGTACCAAAACTATAAATATAAAGATTAATGTAATACAAATGTCTCAATAAATAACTTATTTTGTTCAGATTAAATTTAATTGTTTTTGATTCATACTTTTTGGTCGTGGAGAAAATATAGTCTGTTACTCGGTTAGAATGAAAAAATACGATACTTGCGGTTCTTCCACTAGTATCGAATTTTTCCATTCTAACAGAATATACTATTCCCGTACTGTTTCCAAATGGTTTTTAGCAATAATCTAAAATACTAGAATACGGTGTTTAGGGATCTGAAGTTAGGCCGAAAAAATTCATACTTCCGAACGATTTCAGAAAATATTGATTGTACTTATAAGCATTTTGAAATTTTGGTATTATTAATGGATTTGATGTCAACTCATTTTAGTGTATTTTGAAATACTTACAAATAACTAATCCGAAAAACAATTTACATATTCTAAATTAAAACCAACCATTCCGAAATACCACTGACGCTTTCTGAAATACGTCTGGAAAAGCTGTTGTACGGTAATAAATTAATACATAGTCATTACATGCCAACTGTAGATAAAAGTTTTACAAGCTTTTATGCTTACGAGCCAAAGCACTTAAAGCAAAAAAAAAATTCTTACCTTTTCCCCCTTAGATCCCTTGAAGTTCACCAACGTGAGCACCAGATATATGGCCAGGCAAAGGGCCAAGAACACCAAAAGGGCGCAGATGAACGACCTGAAGGACGTATCTTTCGGCGGAGGGTTGCCGTTAACATTATATTCACATTTCTTGCTCATCTCGGTAACGTGAAGTGAGCAAGACCTTATCAAAAATTCTTTTTTAAGCTGGCCAGCTAGGAAAGGAAACGTTTTACCGCTATCGCAAAGCGATAACGAGTCCGTTGGATTTCTGACTTGTCTGAATTTCATTTAGGCAACACGCAGCTTGATGCAGCGTTAAAAATGTATAGGCTTCGGCCTTCTAGTTTAAAAAAATATGCTCATGGGTAAAAGCCATTTCCTGTCGATGTCTATTGCAATTCACAACGACAACAAAGTCGAAGCGACAATACTGTAACACCTAAATAAAGTAAATTATTATCGTAATTTATCAAAAAAAAATAGTTATTTTTTGTTCTAGGTTGAAAGTATTGCTTTTCTATTGAAGAATTGATGGCGAAAAATCCCATTCGACAATGAAAAATGCGGCTTCGCACCTCCTTTTTTTTATTCTCTCTACCTCTCTACAACCATTTCCCTCCAAGTTACAGCTGTTTGAAAATCACCCGAAAATTTGGGATTTTTTAAATATCCCTTAATTTTTGTGACTAGTTTATTTACATGACAAACAAATTTATTTGAGTGCTGGAAAATTGGCTCTAATAATAGAAAATAACACTCTTTCTTTCTTTTAGAAAAGTGATTCTCTTTTGGAATTCCTATTCGGTTTTACAACAATTAAACAGGGAAAATAGATTTACCCATATGAGTAACTGAGTAACTAAATAAGAGGGTTTATTTCCTTGTCTTTCATAGGAAGCGCCACTTGCTGCAGACGCAACTGGCGGCATCTTACGCCCATTGTGTAAACAAATAGCAGCTGCAACGCAAAACAAAACAAAGAAACTGCATTCGTGCTACTGTCTTTGGTTTGAGAATGTAACTCAAAAACTATGCAATAGAAGTCGCTGCCTAATATGTTTTATTATGCAGCAGTTGGCGGTAAATTTAAATATACCATAATATTCAGAGTACAACCTTTGTGAGAATTTAAAAAATGCTGCATTGTTCAGCTTCAGCACGAAAGAATATATGTAATATTATCATATTTTTAATTTTTCAGCGAACTCTATAGGTTCTAATACCAACATTGTTTTTCTGTTCAGGTTAGTTGATGTTAGTGTTACAGTTTTCGATACATAAATATTGCTAACGATGGCAGTGTTTTGCATAACGATCGTGAGATGGCGCTCGTACTTTCATGATTCTGCTCGTCCTATCCCATCCCAGAATAACCATCATAGAAAGCCTTGATATTCGTATAGGGAAATAACCCTTGAAATGTAAATAAAATGAGTCATGAGTCAGAAATGTTTCAAGTGATTTAGAAGACATTAAAAAAATGTTAATCGTTCCTCTTCAAGCTGTTATATCTTCTGAAGAGACTCGGTATTGATGCATGGTTCATTCTAAATTTTTTGTGAAGGAACTTTAACAGTCTTTGTCCATACATTAGAGTAGACATTTTCCATGGCGTATTCTCTTAATAACTATGCGTTCTTCCTTTCAACAAATCTTTTCAGGTATTCTACTATTCTTCCAAAATCTTCCACGCCGCAGGTTTGTCTGTATCCGCCAGTGAACTGGCCACCATTGGAGCCGGTTGCTGCAACTTTGGCATGGCTGTGCTTTCAATTTTCATCATGAACACTTTCGATAGGAGAACTTGCATATTACTGAGTCTGGCTTCTTCTATGTTCTTCTTGGTAGTTTTGGGAGTCGCTATTCTGTTCATCGTAAGTACTTAATATACATACAATGTTCCAGAAACTAACCGATTTTTTTCAGGAGTCTTACACTTGGGTACCTTACATTAGCATCATCGGGGTGTTGGGCTTCGTGATTTGCTACGGTTTGGGTATTGGTCCCATTCCGTATTTCATAGGATCGGAGTTGTTCGAGGTGGGGCCTCGACCCAGCGCCATGGCCTTGGGCAGCATGTCCAACTGGGCGGGCAACTTCCTCGTAGGCCTGCTCTTCCCTACCATGCAGGATTACATTGGGCCATCTTCTTTCTTCATATTCGCGGTCTTCTTAGTTGCCCTATTTATTTTCGTCAGGTAAGTTCTACCGGGGATACTACAGATCAACAGGAATAAGTTTGCGGGTGAGATATATGCGTAACTGACTGACTAGTTAGTCAAAGACCAAAAAAGACACTGTTCGGATTACGTTTGCTCCTTTTAGATATAAACTCCATNCAAAAGCAATAAGACAATTGAGATGATCGATTCAACAATTATAATTATCTTCTTGCGTTACACTAAATTTTAGTATTATAATAGTATTTAGTATTATATACAGGGTGTCCGGTAACTGCAGGGAAAAAATAAAGGGTTATATAGAGCAGGTCAAACGAGTGCTAGTACTTCATATAAACTTTTTACCTAGGTGCCATTGTTGAGGAGTTACTGTCACTCAAAGTAAGAAGTTAAAAAATTAATATTGCTCATAATTTCTAAAGGGTTACTTTGATTAACTTGAAATTTGAGGGATCAAAGCAACTCATTCAAATGTATCTTTGTACATTTAAAATTGAATTAAATATTTTTTATTATACAAGGACGGTCGAAATTATGTTCCAAAATTTACGAAACTTTGACAGAGCTGTCAAATTTGACATTTCGCACTCGCAGGCAGATAGCCCTGTTACTTTTCTACAAAAAGATATACTTCATGACATGAAAAAATGAACGGTTGACAAGATAATTAAATTTTTGTATTTTGTGTATAGCCACAACCGGGGACACAACGCAACAGAAAAATGTTAAGAATGAAACATACGAATTAAAAGAGGTTACTTCAGTAAATGCTCGATATGTCCTCCATCTAGTTCAATGCACTTCCTTATTTTTTTAAGATTATTTTGTTGCACTCTAAATAGCATTTTGTGTATTCTGTTTAATTTCATTACAATGATGTTCTATTCTTGCCATCAACATTGCATTGCGCTTCTCCATAAATCAAATGCATATCTGCATATTCTTCATAAGACTATTCCATTATTTCATTTTAATTTTTCACTAAAAGGGGAATTAATTTTAAGCTGCCTTAAAGCTTAAAGAACTTTTGCATCTTTATCCTGATGTGATGAATGGATTATACCGTTCGAACAAGCAAAAACTTGCCAAATTGAAAAATCTGGAAGAACATGCTACCACAGGACAAGTCAGTCTAATTTCTGAATTGGAGAAAGGAAATATTTTAGAAGCGCGTACAAAAAGAATGGTCTCTGACAATTGAGGCTTGTTTTTATCGTTGTTCACGGTGTTAGAATTAATTTGGATTAATATGTTGTTTTTGCGGTCGTTCTTTGTGTTTGATCTAATTTTCTAAATAAAAAGCTTAAAACTATATACTTTTCCTTTTTTGAGAACTTTAATATCAAGAATTTTATTTCATAAAAATAATGGTAAAGCCGTATTTGTTGACATGGTCTAACATTTATTTCGAAAACGGTAGATTCTATTAACAAGAATACATTTTTGTAAAGCTCTATACTCTATAATAATAATAAATCTCACAAATACAAATTTTTTGAAATTACGTTTTTTCTGAAAGGTCAAGGTGACAATTATAAACTAAAGAAGTCAAAAGATTTGTCAAACAAACAACTTGAAACGTTTATTACTCAAGCACCAGATTGAATGAATAAAGTATGTTTAGAAGTAAAAATTTTCAAATATCTAGATATCAGTTTCTCCTTTTGTTGCCTTAATATGTGCTGTTGCCGGTGCATGTCGCCGTGATGAACTGTGTCAATTAAATTTGAATGATATAGATGATTTAAGATCAAAGCTTTTGATTAAAATACCGAATAATAAAATGAAAAACCGAGATTATTTGTGATAAACGAAACTTGGCATATTTAATAAAGTAAATACAGTAATAAATGTATAATATAATGTATTATAAATTGCATATTATATGAAAGGGGTAAAATAAAAGAAATAAGTATTTGACAGTAATAGTTTGTCAAATAAGAATTTAAAAGAAATTAAAATGATAGGAGATTTCAGAATAGTAATGATTTGTAATGATAAAATTAAATTGATTTTTTTTATATAAATGAGAAAAGTATTGTAAAATAGTTATTAAGTAGTGAGCAGTGGAAAATTAAAACGTAGAAACAGGAGCGCGGTTACTTGGAAACAGGAAGAAAAAAAAAAGTTTGTGAGTTGATTTTTGAAAATTGAAGGAAGGAAATGATTAATCAAAAAGTTGAGATAAATACGAAGAAAAGATAATTTAAATATTAAAAAGTCCATAAATAACTAAAGAAGACAGAAACCGTAAATATAAGACATAAACAGGAATAGAAAAAGGTAACTAATTGACAAGTATTGAATTATAAACATTTCCCAGAGGGTAGAGTCTCCTGTGGAGGACCAAATACAAAATAACAAACCGTATACTAGATGTAATAGAGGAGCAGATAGACAGTAGAAGATTTATTCTTGTAACAGAGCAGTTAGGTACGAGAGTTGCAGTTTGAACTTCAGACAAACGAGACAGGATCATCAAAGTTGAACGGAAGGAGCAAAACTGTGTCTAAAATTGGAAACTATAGTTGTGGGAGATTTTGTATATAATTGTAAATAGAAATAAGTAATTTAGTTAATAGTACTGGCGTAGGTTGCGTAGAGAAAATATCAATTCATCTAAATTGTGTCCAAGAAAGAATCAATTTAATTTAATATAAATTTTTTTGAAAATCAGGTATTTCATTCTTTGAGTGTGACAAAAATTAAAGTTTTATTGAAGTCATTACAAAAATTAATAATAAAAGACAGTGATTGTTTCTTCTAAAGAACCACCCCTAGAGGGAATAGAGTTTTGTGCTACATTATGCAGGAAAAATATTACCTTCAAGTTTATTTTATATTGAAGAATTTTTTTTTTAATTTCAAAATTAATAAATTTTCATATCACCCAAAATTTAATTCTAAGAATAAATTATCTTGGTAAAAAGAAATCTAAATTTATAAAATAAAGAAAAACAGTATATAAACTTTCACTGATACTGGTATCTATATTTAAGCATATGAAGGTAACTAGATTTTCTTGTTTGACTATATGAGCTATCCGAAAGTACATAAACATAAATTGTATACATACAGGGTCGGAAAGTCCCCATGGTTCATTGGCCGTTACGTGAGAGCGATAAAGAAAGTCATAGAAACCCGTGCGATAGAGAAAGATGGCTATAATGAAGGCGTCTAATAGTCACCGCCCATTTCGCCCTTCCACAAATCGCAACCCCAACTATGGGGACTTTCCGACCCTGTAAATAAAATACACGACAAATAAATTATATAACAATATGTTGCATGCCGTCCAGGAAATTTTTAAGTTGCCGCTGTTTCTTTAAATATTCAAATGGCAGAGGTTGGAGGCAAGTAGTAGGAATAAATCAGTTTTGTAAAATAAATCAAAATTTTTAAATTTGCCAAATGCAGACAGGACATTGTTTTCGTCAATCCTTTGCGGCCATTTTGGTCAATTCTGGAGTAGATTTAATTGCATTAAAAAGACATGGGGGATGGAAATCTTCAAACGTGGCCGAAGGATATACAGGATGTGAAACAATAAACCATTATTATGCTTTTACTAACCATGAATATGACGTTATGCATTTTATTTATGGTTTCTGTAATGGAAATAGTCTGGCGGCTCAAAAAGTGTATCGACAACTGTTCCCTGATAAAAGGCAACCTTCCGCAAGATTGTTTCAGAAAATTCATGCAAGAACCATGGAATGAGAAGCCCTAACTGTTGATAGATATCATGAAGGAGGCGTAGGCATGATTTAGACGAAGTAATTTTAGGGTTTTTTAACGTAATCCTACTGCGAGTAGTAGTAGGCAGTTAATCAGAAAGAAAGTTTTTTTTTAAATATACAAATGATAAAACCCCTTTGGAGTGCCACATCGCAGTAACGGTGCTCCGGAGGACCAATGTTTATAGGAGCTTCTTTACTGTATTTGGCTCTACCTTCACTTCCTTAAATTTTGTACCAATTTTTGCAAACACCCTGTTTAGAGGAATCTTTTGCAAATAAACTAGACATATGTAGTAGATAAATTATTTAGAGGATGGAGAAACAAAGAGAAATTTGCAGATAGGTAATAATATTGTCGAAGAAGAAATAATTAACAGCAATAATGCGCCGACTTTTCGTGTAAAATTTGGCCACTCTGTTAATAAAGTTTGGTCCTGCTGCAATTCGATTTAGGAACCAATTGCAAAATTCAAGACGATTGGGGAAATTAGCTGGTTCTAAAGCTTGAACTTTTTGAAAATGGTACGGGTTGAGTGAATTCTCGCACAATATCCGCCAAACTTTGGTTTGTGATATCCCCAGTCGCCTTGAAATTGTTCTTGTGGGAATAGTAGGCTGCTCCTCGACTAAATTTAAAACAGCCTCTATCACGTTTAAGTCATTTTGTCGATGTCCTGAACGTTCGCTGCGCCGTATGGTATGATAGATGCAATTGGAAAAATGCGGGTGGTAGATTTGAATAAACGCTTTAAATTGTTAATGGTTTTGTAACCGTCTGTAGTGTATTTTGTATATTCGGGTATTTAGTAGTGTGCCGACTTTTTTTATTGGTAAAATACGGTGTGCCTACAAACAGGTAACTACCTCTGCTTTATTTATTTTCTTTTAACGAAAGTTGACTTCGAGAAGTCAAGCTTGTTAAAACATTCTGCACTAAGTTAATACAATTGTTAAAATTATTTATAATAAAATGCAGCATGCTCCTTTATTTACTTGCATACGTTTAACGTGGAACGTGGAACCCACAGTAAAAGTGAATCACACATTATGATGTGAACTTGGCAACGCTGTTCGCTTAGAACTGACAATTGCTCGTGACATTACGTTACAAAATTTTCCGAGCATCCGGGCATCTG